GGGGGAGGGAGAGATGTACAGAGGTATGCCCCGACAGTACAATCGTAGAAGTCGTGCGCCCCTCAGCAGGGGGGGAGGGAGAGATGGACAGAGGTATGCCCCGACAGTACAATCGTAGAAGTCGTGCGCCCCTCAGCAGGGGGGGAGGGAGAGATGGACAGAGGTATGCCCCGACAGTACAATCGTAGAAGTCGTGTGCTCCTGTGCAGAGGGGGGGGGGGTTAAAGTTACCCCCGCAATGCTTGGTTGACTATTTTGGTTGATTGGATGATTATTTTCTATTTTTCTCTAAAAATAATAAATTTTTTAAAAAAATGTATAGTACATAAAAGTTGAAGAGATCTACAACTTTTGTAAAAAACATTTTATGATAATTTTAATATTTATTGAGATAAATGGAAAAAAGGCAGTTTTTATGGGTTTTTTATGTTTTTCACCATGAAGATGACCTAGTCGCCAATTTTCACTATGATTTTCGTAATCAGCGCATCAAACTACGTAAGTATACCAAGTTTCAAAAAAATCGGAATCATGTTGCTTTCGGAAGTGCACCCACTATTTTGATAACACTCTTATTTAGGGCAACATTATTGTCGACAAGCTTTGCATTAGTCACATCCAAGATTATAGCACGGGCATCAAGAACTTTCAATGTACTCGGATCTAATGTCTTTATATTATTATCGTTTTATGGTATTTCCTCCTCCAAATTGGACACCATTTTGATCAATTACTTCTAAATTGTGTACCTGCAAAATATATAAATAATTTAAATAGTTTCAATTATTTTTTTCAGAAATTACGTTTATTAGCGTATTTGATTATTGATTATACGTAATAGATTTTATTGGTATAATGTTATTACGAAATTGATTATCAGAACAATCCTTCACGATATTAATTATTAATTAGAATAATAATTTGTAAACATATACTTATGAAGATATGCGTGATTGAAAACTAGTTAACTTATATTCCAAAATCTTGAATGAAATATAGTGTTCTAGGTGAGAGATTAAACTATATATTATATATGTATATATAACAGTTTTTTACATTTTAAAAATAAATCACAAAAGATCAGTATTAATTTTAAAAGAATTCTTATACCAAATTGTCTATTTTAACGTAATACATTTTATTAATGAAAGATAATGAAATGGTACATATTACCA